ATTATGTAAATACCTTAAGTGAACCTTTAAAATTTGAATGTGAATTAGAAAGTAAAAATGAGATTAATTATTAAATTAAGATATAACCATAAATCGAAGTAAAAATGTACTTAATATAAAATCATATAGAAAAAAATTGTAATATGGATAAGGCTTTAAATTATAAATCATATTGTCCTTTAATTAATTAAATTCTTAATTAAATTCTTAATTAATTAAATTCTTTTTAATTAATTCCCTTAATTAAAAAGAATAATTCTGTGATGGCATTGTCTAAGACAGGCAGGGAACTTTTTCTCATTTGAAGCCCACATGAGAACTAACATTATTTCAAGAAGGCCACATTCTAAAAAGAAACCAAATTTACTGCAAAATGCAAATAAATTAATACTAATTTAGCTTTTGTATAGAATTAACTCTTCAAGTATCTTATATTGACATACATCAGAGTTATTGCAGCCAGATAACAACTTTTACTGAGAATCATCTCTTAGTGGAATCGTCATATTGCCAAAATTAGTTCACATATGTTAATCAATGTCATATATATAACAATATAAAAACTTGTTTAAGAAAACCACAGAAAGCTGCACATCACACTACAAAAAGCTGCATGCAGCCATAAGGCAACAGGTTCCCACCTGTGGTGTAAGATCTGGATTAGAACAACTAAAGTAGAAGATAGAAAAAAGAACAAAGCGAGTTAATAAACAAATTTTTATTAAATGACTACCCCAGTAGAATATTAAAAAATAGATATTAGAAAATACAAAAAATAGATTTAAAGTTAAATATAAAAAAGAAGATAATATATATTTGTCTTTCCCTTAAATGTAAGGAAAAGCCAAATATATATTATCTTCTTTTTTATAACAAGAGAGATGTTGATACATTATCTGATCACTAAAGTGAATAAATAAAAAAAAGTGTAAAAAAATGTTAAAAGAGCAAGTTAAGAGAATTAAAACAATAAAAATTATAATCCCAAGTTTCTATATTGGGGAAACGAAAAGAAAATTGAAGACCAGATTGTTGGAATATTTAGCATCAGTAAGATTAAGAAATAATAATTCTCCTATTTTTCATCATTGTAATATTAATAATTGTGAAATTGATATTAATAACATAAAAATTGTTTATCAGAAAAAATAATATAAAAAGAAAAGTAAAAGAATGTTTCACTGTATATAATTATGCAAAATAATACAGTACAGTTAATTTAAATACTGGTGTATTGATAACTGCATGTTGGGAAACTTTATCGGGTATATAAATGTAAATCTGTACTAGGATATTGTTGAAGTTCAGAACTGTTTATCCACCGAAAACCCTACTGAGGAGGCCCTTCTGGCAAAATGCATTTAGAGGAATTATTGGTATAATTAAAAGAATTTTTCTGCATTTGGGTTTGCCTTTTTTTTTATTTTTTTACTTGTAGTGTGCTATTTACGTAATGTTTCAAAGTTTAAAAGTTATTTATCCTCCATAAGTCAAAACAGAATAAAAATTTAATTTTTGTGTATTTTCTACAATACAATTATGTAATTTTGATACAATAATTTGACTCCATCTTTTTAAATTAATTTTTATATAAATAAAAATTAATTGAAGGATTTTATGTAAAATAAGAAATTAAGTGGAAAGAAATATGGTATTAATAATTCAAGAATATAAAAAGTTGGAAATTTTAAATTTGCATCCCTATTTCATCACTTAAATGTTCAAAGCATTTCGACCAAATATAACAGCACAAAAAATTAATTTTAAGCAATTATTTATAATCAAATAATAAATTTTTAATTAATATGTTCCATAAAATCTGAAATATAATTGTTTAAACTTCATATTTGGTGGATAAACAGACAATGAAAATGTTTGATATCATTGCTTGTAAAATTTTGTTCTTGAAATTTTTTAGTGATGAATTCATTCAAATGAAAAATAACTTATCATTCAATTATTGAAATCATATGAAATATCTCAAGTAGTCCTTGCTAAAATTTGAAGTAGTCAATAGCCTTATCATTTCCTAATTAGTAGCTTAAATAGGCCACTGTAACTGTATTGACCTATTTATGCAGCTTGGGCCTCAGATCTAACTTTTAATTATTATGATAAAGAACAAAATGAAATTGAAATATGACAAACAGAATCTAGATATTAATAAAAGTTTTTTTTTAATGTACAATATTTTAAATATGATTGTAAATAAATATAATTAAAAATATATTTCTAAACATCTTTTTGGCTGCTAGGATTTCTTTTATTTGGCAAATATTTTCAACCTTGTTTAATAGGCCATTCTCGGGCTACGAAAAGGTGTTTAGAGATATATTTTGCATAATAGCATGCATTAAATGTAAAGAATCGTGCATTTAACAACTACTATATGACTTTATATATATATCAGTATATAATAAATATAATAATTATTTTTATTATAAGTTTAGATATAAGTTTGACTTGGCTGTTCTTTACTAGTACTTTTGGACCTGAAAAGGGCCTTTTAATTTTTATATCAATCTGACAGTGGAATAGGATCTTCATCTTTGCTTTCAGAAGTCACTTAGTAACGTATTAATTACAAGTTGTTTCATAATTTCCAGTCATCCAGTGGATTCCCTGTATTCTTCCATAATTTTTTCTCTACGATGAATTATTACTATCCAATTTTCTTTAGTTATTAATGCAAAAGTGTTGTCTATTAACTTTTTTACATCTGCCAATTTGAACTTGGTGTTGAGTGATGTATGCTTTTAACAGATCCCATATTAATTCAATGGGATTAAATTCACAATGAAAGGGATACAAACAAATAACTGTATAACCTCTGGATACAGCCTCTTCATCAATCTTTTAGTGTTTCCTGAAGTTCTTATGCATCTTAATTATTTCATAAAGCTCAGCTCTGTACAATTGATCAGGAAATGAAATTTTATGTTGAATTAGCCAGTTTGCCATTTCTTGTTTTTGACTATTGCTGGATAGAGATCTCTCCAGTTGATGACTGTGATATGGAGTATTGTCCATAAAAATGTATGATTTTTCTGGAATGTTGGGGATAAGTTGATCCATTTCTTTGTTACAGTCTGGGTTATTGTCTTTGGAAACAAAAGTAAGCTGGGTATTGCAAATAAAACCATTTTCATTTCCACCATGAAGAATTATCAATTGTCTGCTTTTTCCAATTGGGACTTTCAAATTAATTGCATTGTTTTTCCAGCATTTTGATACAGTGTAATGTTTGTTTACCCACATCTCATCTAAATATACACAGGACTGGCTTTTATCCATAGTTTGAACTGTTCACAAAAAATTAATTCTGGATGTGATTGTCATTTCTTTCCAAAAGTGTCTTATACTGGTTATCTTTACAATAACAAAATCCAAGCTTATTCATAATTTTTTTAACAATTCAATATAGCCATTAAAGCCTATCTTTTCTTTTAAATTAATGCGTAGATGATGCAGAGTTGGAATTTTGTCTTCACAGTACAGACTATGAATGTTACCAAGTTACTAAAAAATAAATTTGTTCACAGAAAAAGAGGCCAAATACAAATATTGTCTAGAGTATTTGTGTTTGACCTCTTTTCTCCAGGTTTACAGAAAGGCTTTGCTTCTTTAAGAAGACTGGTTACCGTTGAACGACTGATGTTAGTAGCCATGGCTGTCCACTGTCTTGCAGCAGTAACAATTCTCCTTTCTCTCTTTCTTTAGCAAAATAGTACATTATAAATCATCTTCAATGTTTGACTTCATAACAAACTTCTGGTATTCCAGTAATGGAATGTGAAGTTACATAATACTGTTTATAATGGGTGATGACATGTGAAACAAATGAAGAAGAAACCAGAAGTAACTTACCGCAACTGATTATGCCAGTCATCTATCTATTTTTGAATTGAAATAACATGACTTCTGATCCATACCAGAAGTTTATATATAGTTAATTGAGGCCTCCTGCCTCTAAGCTTTCCATCTCTGTTCTCAACTTTCATCTATCTAACTATTCTCAAGATTAAGGAAGGACAGACAAAAAGACAGGTACTAGTGAGATTTTATAGGTCTGCAAGTTTCAACCAATAAACATAGCAAACATTATCTAACATAAATTTCACTTATATTTTTTTTTTATAAGACTATATTTGACCTGTTATTAAGTCTTTGTTTTGCAATTGTATGCTTATTAATAGAGATGTAATTTATTGAAATCATATAGCAAAGATATTTTCAATATATTAATATAATTATTTAATGATCTATTAAAAATTTATCTTAATAATAATTTAAATTTATTATTCATCCTTGATATCATATTGATTTTTATAAGTAAATAAATACAAGCAATCCTTTACTTTTGGATATTTGACTTTCAGGCAGCTTATTCTTCATACATTTGACATCTGTAAATTTTATATATCAAATCTACTTATTTATACATATTCAGCTGACAAAAAACATTTGAGCTATCATGCAGTGGGACTTTCTGCCAATTTTGATATGTCACTGACACTAAACTGGCAGACAACAAATTTAACCTTGTTTGTTTTGTGTTTATATATAGTTTTTTAATGTTTTAAATAATGTTTTGTAATATATTCACTGTAAAAAAATATAACTTTCCTACCTTGATAAGAGATTTTATAGTTTTTCATTTAGCTCTCTCAGAGTGGAATCATCTTTATAACAGAACTCATGTTCAACTTTGGGAATATTTGACTTTCATATCATATATATTTTTAGGAATGTATTATGTCCAAATGTCAAGGATTGACTGTATTTGGTTTGATAACTTTGGTGTATTTGGTGACTGCCCTTGATATATATGTTAATAATCATGTATGTGTATATGTTTTAAGTAAAAACATATTATAATATTTACTTATAATTAGTTTAAGAACAAAAAATTATTATTTTTTAATTCTGTAAATTTGTGAACAACAAATTTAATATATATCTTATAAAATTTATACTTATAAAATTTTGAAAATTTTTAGGATAATGAAGATGACCACCTTGAATAATGAGCCTGATCATTGTGAGTAAATTTTGAATTGGAGATATTAATATATTTTTTAATAAGATAGGTGTAGTTTTGATGTGAATAATGTCTGAGAGTAATTAAGCAAATTTGCATTATGAAAGTGTGAGACAGCCAGAATGTTTAAATCCAACTTTACCACTTGATAACATTAAACATTTTGATGTTAACATAATGAGATCTGCATGTAAAGTATATTTAATTAGCTTTCATACAATATAACTTTTATTTGTATTTTGTTACAAAATTTTATTTTATTGTTTATAATAAAGCAACTCATTCCTTAACTGTAAGAGTTACATTTGAACAGTGCTGGACAAAATATGTTTTAAGACATGGGTTTTCAGAATACATAATCAAATTTACTTCAACATGAACATTTTATAATTATTAATGCATAATTTTCAGAAATAAACAACTTCCTTTAACTGCTAACGGTGTCATTGTACTGTGACAATTTGATCACCATTTATTTCTATCACTCCTTAAGATAAAATAGCAGATTTTATAGTACAGTAGAGCGTCGTTTATCCAAAAGTCAATTATCCGAAATGTCGGTTATCCAAAAGAATTCCAGTTGGCAAATTTAAATTTTCACTAGTGCTGTGGCGCTGCAATCTTTGGGTATGTCTTGGGCTACTCAAATATTTTACGTTTTTGATACTAAATTAACTTCTGAAGTATAATTTTTTATTGTTTTTATATTTTTCAATATATTTATTTTGTTTGTACAAAATAAAAAAATAATTTTTAACGATACAATAGTCTACATTAGGCTTAACATTGACGAAAATTCAATGCAAAGCGACATGCAATGGAGAAAAATTTCAGGATGGGATAGGTTAATATATTTTTTCATACATAATCAGTTATCCGAAAAATAAGTTATAAGTTATCCAAACAACCCTAGTCCCCAATTGATTCGGATAAACGACGCTCTACTGTATATGATTATCTTCAACCTAAAGTAGATATAATAAATCTATTAAATTATTTCTCTATTTATAGATAAGAAAACTATAGATTCAAATAAAACTTAAGTAAACAATTTGTTTTTCTTTGAATTTGTTTTTTATGAACAATAATTATTATAGTTAAAGAAAAACTTCTTTCAAGAAGGCCACAAAGGACAAAATCATCTAGATATGGCTGACTTTGACAATGTAAAGCAGAAATGCAATGAACATATGAGAGTCATACATTCAATGCACTATATTCATTTTATTGATGTGGAAGCAAATGCCTTATGGATAAAATATGAACACAATCTTAGATTGTATTATTAATTTAGCTTACAAGTATTAATAATGGCTGTAATTATGAACAAGCTATTATCTATTTATTGCAATCTTAATAGATGATGATCACAAAATCATAAGGATTCCTTGAATCCCCTGTTACTTTTTTAATTTGTAGATTAAGCACAAATTTATCATATCACAACAACAGTTACTTTTTAATTAATTTTTTTTTTATATAGTTTTATTTATTAATTTCTCTCATGAATGAAAATACATTTGAGAAACAAGAATACTTTATTATGTAAAAGTTTGTAGTTTAAGATTTCTTACTGATATTGTTATTTTATGTATTTAAAATATAGTAGAGTCTCGAAAACTCGGCACTCGATAACACGGCAGTCCGGATAACTCGGCCACACCCTGGCAGGGCGAAAAAATCCTTAGTTAATTAATTTTCATTATAGACAGCTTTATGCCGCATAAAGTATTTTTCTGAGGTCTGTCTTATCAGGTAAATTACTGTACACAGTGTATTCATTAATTTTCATTTTCATGTAGTAAAGGCTTTATGTATTTATAAAGGACGTACTTTTCCTTTGTTTAAGGGTATTTGGGCAGTTTATTCTCTTGTATTCTCAAGTAAACAATACATACAAGTACAGTACAGTATTTTCTGAGGAAACACTCATACTTATTTTTTTTAACCCCATTCCCGATAACCCAGCATTTTCACAAACTCGGCCACCCTTCGGTCCACATTAGGTCAAGTTTTTGAGACTCTACTGTAATATATTTAAGGTTTTTAAACATAATTGAAATTTTATTCTGTTGACTTTTAAAATCTCATTCAAATGAGTTGCTTATAAAAAAAAATTAATACGTATTTATTTCATGTTTGTGAATTAATTTAATAATATGACTTTTATACTTTCATTTTAGATTCTCATTTCTCTTTAAATTTCTGTTTTAAGATGTATTTTATATAAGCAAGCTGGGTAAAAGTGAAATTACTTACAAGTTGTTGTTATTTTTTTAATTTGTATTTTTTACATCTTATAACACAGTCTAAATATAGAAGTATATTGTTATATACAAGAAATCTAATGATAATTATCTGTGGAAAGTTAAAAATAAACAAAGTTTGTTTAGAGAGTAAAGCATTCTTATTTATGAATGTGTTTTGGTTCATGAATGGAATTAAATAAAAAAAAGTGTGGATAATAAAGATTAAAAATAATAATTATGCCTTTATGGTAATAAAATTTTGTTAATCAAAGTTTAATCACTAATGTAAATAAAGGTTTATAAATTATGCATATAAAATTTTATTTTTAAGTTTTCATTGCAGTATAATATCTGATGATGATGAAATATTTAAGTATTTCTTAAATTCCACCTTTCTATAGTTTATGCATATTATATAAAGAAGCTATTTTATTACAAATTTAAAACTTAAAAATTCAAAAATATTTAATACGCTAAACAGATTTTTGTTTCTTAATGAAAATATTAATGTATTTTGAACCATAAATTTCTCATTAACAAAAAATTGATTTTCTTCTGGCAGAAATTAAATATTGAAATTTGAGTTATTTAAATTTCTTTTTAATACAAATAGCAATCTGATATTCTGAAAATTCTCATGAAAACTTGTACATTAACTTTTTTCATTGTATTGTATGGTATTGTACAGTATATTAGCTTTTTTCACTTGTTAAATATGATTATAGAAATTAAGGAATTTCTTAACTTTTAAATTTAATTATTGTCTTATTTTATAAGAATTACATGGAATATTTTTTCTGATTTTGTGAAACTTAAAATTTTTTTTTATATGTGCAATTTAATTTTTTATGTGTTGAACCATATGAATCGCATAGTAATCACTAAATTATTTTTTGAATTTTTCTAAAATACTACATGAATATTACATTTTAAATGTCATTCTTAACCAATTATTAAAAAAAAATTATAATTGGAAACACTAAATAAATTGTTCTTTTGTCAAGAATATGCGAAGAATTTATTCACTCCAGTTTCAAAATAAACCAAAATAAAATAGGAAATTTGTTAAGAAGTTAATTTACAACTGTATTTTCACATTTATGCTTAAAATATTTTAATCAACTAGATAGAAGTTATATAAATATTTAAATACAAATATTTTTGACATATATTATATTATTGTACATTACTGAGTGAATTAGAAGTATTTTTTGTTCTATTTCATTCATTGGTATAACATACATCAAAATTTTTGGCACTCAGGTGGGTTTATCACACACTGTTGATGCAGTAGAAGAAATCACACAGAGATGGTTATATACTGTAATAATGGTATGCATTTCAGACAGTTAACCTTTCCCTCTTCAGCTGTTCTTATTACAGATTGTGAGTTGCAGGCATCCAAAATACATGAAGTTTATGTTAGTCATTATGATAAGTAATTAAATTAAGTTAAAACTATTTTATAATTATAAAACCATATCTTAATATTCAGTTCAATATGCCAAAATGTTTGCATTTAAATATTTGTATGACTTCTAGACTTCTCTCTAGTTGATTAAAGTATTATAAGCTTAGATATGAAATTTATATTTGTTAGGATATAAAAAAAATTATACTAAAGTCATAGAGTCAGATTTGTCTCTGGCTCTGTGAGTTTAGTATGATTTTCTATAGAATAAATAATACTCACCTTATAGGTCTTCTGATAGAAAATGTACAGAATTTGATGTTTTTTCACTAATGAATTTTGGGCATGGGATAAATATGTCCAACTGGGATTCTACTAAAGAAAGTAACTTATGTATAGTATTTTTTCAAATTGACTGGCATGCCAGTCAATTTGCAAAAATACTGTACTATTGGGAAGACCAGCATGTCAGAAACCCTGGGGTTACTGACATGCCAGTTAAACTGACTAAAAAAAATATAATTAATCAGATCTAACAAAACTACTGTAGTTGTTAATTAAATGTTAAAGAAAACATTCTTCTGAATACAATAAAATAATAATGGAAGAAAGTTTTCATTTACAGGGCAATAAAACAATTAGAGGCTTATTGCCATTAGTTGTAGTAGTGTGGACTGCACTGACAATCTATGGGATCTTAAAAATAACACATTCCTTTCAAATTTCACACAAAGGGAATGTTAATTGGTGTAAGTTGGTAATTTGCAGCAAATTTCTGAAATTTGATATGTTTATTTTTTCACTTTTGGACTGAATTACAACAAAATAAACATACTATATAACTAGATTGCTGTATATTAGATCTCTATGTAATATGTCTCTGTAATCCAACAAATGGTAGACGGACTCACAGCAAATTTTCAGTTAGGAACTACAATTTTATTCTCAAAAATGACAAATGCATTTCAGGTTGGCTCAATACATCCCAACCCCTCCTCAGTGCTAATAAAACAAAAATAGTCAGTTCACAACAACAAATATACCAACAGGAAAAAATTTTTTTTCTTAAACACTTGCACAATTTTTATATCCTTAAGAGTAAGGGATATCAACACAACTATAACATCGACACATGCTATACATCAATACATAGTAGAGGTATTGTACATGCTCAAAGAGCCATTGAAGTATTTAATACTACATGATAACCTCCTCACTAAAAATAAAACTTTTTTGACTATTTTACAGAATTAATAATTAATAATAATGTATGAAAACAATATACATTACTTACTGTTAAAATATATAGTGATATAAACAGATTACAAACTGTAATGTACAAAAACCAGGCAAAAGCTCTACTACTTTACTTTTAATCAATCGCAATAATTTCATTCTATGTAACGCCCTCTATCAGTTTATACTATGATAATCTCATCACTAAAAATAAAACATATTTATGACTATTTTACAGAATTAATAATTAATAATGGTGTGTAAAAACAACAAACATTACTCACTGTAAAAATACAAACTATAATTTACAAAAATCAAGCAAAAACTCTACTACTATTCTTTTTAATCAATCACAATAATGTCATGTAACGCCCTCTATCAGTTTCAAAATTAGCACTGAGGAGGGGTTCAGATGTATTGAGCCAACCTGAAATGCATTTGTCATTTTTGAGAATAACATTGTAGTTCCTAACTGAAAATTTGCTGTGAGTCCGTCTACCATTTGTTGGATTAGAGATGTATTACATAGAGAAAATAAACATAACAAAAATAAGCACTTTTGGCATTCCACAAATATTTTATGTTGTTAAAAAGAAGACAAAATACAGAAATTAAATGTATAATTGTTGTTTTTGATGTAATTCTGACAGTTTCACAGTTTCAGAATAAAAACTCATTCATTTTTTATGCATCCTCTAGAGAGGGATACATAACCTCACTTAAACCAGCATGCTAGTGTTCTCCTGGGAAAAACTGGCATGCCTGTTTTTACCATAAGGAAATAGCTGATTTCATGATCTCCCCAGATAGACTGACATTCTGGACAATCTGCAAAAATACGGTATATGTGATAGAGCAGGTATACAGAAAAAATATAACATTGCATATTGTGCACATTGTTTCCTCCATCTTCTGGATGCATATTTAGCATATTGTCTCCTTGTTTGTCCCTTGATGAATTTGTGGTCACCAATGTTTAGCATCAGTTTTTGTGTAGCTCAATAATGTTCACTTGTTGAATGTTTTTACACTAGTGATGTAACGAATATTCGGTTACTATTCGTTATTCAGCCTAATTTTTGCTATTTGGCCGAATACTGAATATTTAATCACTATTCAGCCGAATACCTAAAAACAGGATTAAGAAATAACAAAAACACAGTAAATTAATCATTTTGGTATTTAGATTTAATGTTATTGGGTTAGTGTTGTTTGTTTATATTTATTTATAACTTATAACATACACAAAATAAAAAAGAACATAATATTAGTCAATTGTATTCACAATTTATAATTACAAAAATCAGCACATCTATTCATTCGAGAATCGTCGCACATCTGAGGGTCTGATCCTGCCTATTCTTCTTTTTAAGCGCTCGTCTTTGCTCTTCCCTTTCTCTTTCCTCTATCGGTCTAGTCCACGTATGCCTATGCATACATCATAATACGCCCTCACGATACTTTCGATTTGTCACTTTTCCGTCGTAGATTTCCCATTTTACAATTACGTGACAGCCTGGTGATAACGGAGAAAAAGAGACAGATAGGATGTCGGTATAAGTTACAGTTATGATTTCACAGATTCGAGACAGCTTGGTAGCTTGAATGACCCCAAGCTTTCGCCCGTGCACGCTAAGTGACTTTCATTACAAGCATTTAGCTTTCTGAAGTCTATGACAACAATTGTTTGGCATTCACGACCGCAAATTTTGGGTCAGTAAGCTGCCTCGACTTGTTCGATTATGTTATCAACTCAATTTCATATTTATTTTCACATTTTCACTTTGCGGTTCTTCTCTGTTCTTTTTCTGTTATTTACACGTGTAGGTTATTTCATTGTTATCCACATTTGATATCATCACTTATCATTTATCACATAATGCCATGACCTCTTGTCTGAACTGTCAAGAATTAATGCGATTGGCGAAGTGTAGTGACAGTGGGCCAATAGAGAGCAGGGTCCTTGCCATAATGCAGTTTGCGCACCAATTTTCGTACGTACATTAATCAAGCCGAATAGTTTGTCCAAATATTCGTCTATTCTGCCACACTCCTGGCCAAATATTTGGTATTTGGCCTGAGGCCGAATATACTATTTGTTGCAACACTATTTTACACCTTTATCATGGATTTTCTAATATCAATCAATCTCTCAGATAAGGGAACCAAATTAGTTTAGCAGTGGTATTTTTCCAGTTTTTTGTGTCAATAATTGAAGGGCTTGAGACAAGAATATGTTAACTTATTTTTCAAGTTTTGAGAAAACAGGTGTTATAATCTCCAACTTCTCACAAGGTAGTGAGTGGAATAAAGGAAACTGCTATTAGTACAGAAACTTATGCAATAGTTGTATTTTTTTGTTTTTTTTTGTATATGTCACAGTGTGATTGTCATAATAGTGTTATGAGTGATTATTGCATTTTGTAATAACTTGAGTGAGTTAGCATATTATTGCCCTTTGGAGTAATTGTCATAAGCAAATGACCTTCCTGTTTACTAAAATAAATATGATGAGTGGTTTTTTTTTCCTGGAATATACTGATTCTTGTAGTTATATTGTAATGTATATAACTTCACTTACTATCATAAATCAAAGTGCAAAAAAAAAAAAAAATTTCTTACAGTACGTTCTACTGTTGCTTCCATTCCAAAACATTGATACGCTTGGAACAAGTACTTATTTGTATTCAAAAAAGGGAATTTAACCGTTTTTAACGACCTGATGAAGACGAAAATAATTATAATCGAAAGCGCATGTCGGTCTAGCGACATTTATTTGTAATTTAACGCCTATATGATAAAAGTTGCTCCTATTAAACAGTTGGCATGCTGTCCACTTCTCTATAATAGTTGTTAAAGCACAGATTAGAATTGACAGATTCATTTTTTTTAAAATACACAATGCAAAATAGTAATCCAAATTATTTTGAATTCCTAATTAGTGAAGTTTTGCTGTATTTTAATCTTAAAGATACAACAATTTTTTAATGTAAAATTGTTAAAAATTATAAATTGTAATTCTTATTTTAAAAAATTATAATCGTAAATAAATATTTTTATTAATTTAGGAATTTAATATATTTATTTTTGAATTTTTTAGATCCTTGACGTATGCTTTTCTGATGGTATTAGTATCTGGATATCAAATATTCACAAGCATGACTTCTTGTTCGTATAGTAGCGATGATGAAATTAGGTAATAATAATTGTGTTCTAAAAACAATTGTATGTAATAAATATTAAGTAATTTTCCAAATTTTTTCCTACAAATAATCATGGAAGATTTAAAATATATTTCATTTATTTTTTTTAATATATCACATCACTAAATTTACGAGATAAGGAATTCAAACTAAAATAATTATATACAGTCAAACTCTGTTTATTCAGTTTTCTCGGATTTCTGGAATATACAGATTTATTTGAATAGTTTTCTTTTTGAATTTTTGCACATTTTGTGAAAGAAATTATTTTTTTTTTTTCAATGTTTATGAGATTGTTAAAACAGTTTTTACAACCTTAATATGTGCCATACCTATATAATGAAAAATACACAGAAATATACTAAAAAATGTTTGTGCTTTTGGGTATGTGCTTTTTGTGTTTTTTGTTATATACAACCAGTTTTTAAAGAAGTAAATATTTATTTAAGTAGCAATCTCACATTTGCATGGATAAAGATACATACTATCTGTATGTATTGAATAATTTTTATGTTCCTATTGTTTTCAAGTCATAAGTTTTAACCCATATGTTTATTTTCAATCATTAAAACATATTTTTAGTATGGAATTTTAGACTTGAATTTCAATACCTCACTAAGTTTTGTTTATCTGGATTTTCATTAGATCCAGATAAATAAGGTTTGACTATATTCAAAATATAAACTTGAACAACTGATAAGTTGACAATTTATCATAATTTACATATATTTTATTGTAGAATATTTTAGACAGAATGAAAAGGTCTCTTTGGATAATCTACTTACTCACAGAGTTAACTTTGAAAGTTTCTGTCAGAGATTTGTTTTTAGTATCCATATTATGTATTGAAAGAAAATGCCTAAGATTATTTATTGATATTTCTAAATATAAAGATATTGTCATATATAGAAGTATCAATAACAATGTGTCAATGAGGTATAATATCATTATCTTATAATATAAACAAGATGGGTTAATAACAATAATAATAATAATAACACTCCCATGCTCACCACCTGGTCATGGTGGGAGAGCCCAATAATTTTACTGATCTACAGGGAAATGCAGACTGGAGCACAAACTCCTTGTAGGGACACAAAGGTCTATGGGGGAGACATGAAGCTAAGAGTGACCATACCCACATTCTGCGAAGATATTTATCATGGTAGTAACCAGATCAAAGTGTGATACCAGCTCAGATGTCGCCTGGGTTAACAAGGTCTGCGTTTGTGGGTTAGGTAGAAAATTTGTTTCATGTTCAAAAAATAGGCCACAGTCTCTCTTGGATACCGGTGGTGAAAGCAGCGCCGGCCCAAGCATGGCTACTGCAATGCCCTCAACAGATATGAGGAATCAACCTACCTTGGTGTTTCCGTGGCAATGCATCCACAGACCACAAAGGCTGGAAAACCACGCCAACGGATGAAATGGACATCAGAAATGAAGAAGTTTATTATAGCCTGATATTAAGACGATCGTTTGGTGATTTAACAAGTTTATCATCTGCACTTACTACACCATCACAAAACTCGAAACAAACATGACAGCATACAGACAACAACTACATCATAGATTCACACAACAATATCCTCACCTCACTGTCACCAAAGAGTTGTTGATCAAAAACAGAACAATTATACACAACAACCTTATCCCATAAACAACAGGTTGCTGATCAAATACATCAACAGACAGAAACATTTAACATTATTAATGAAGATCACATAACCTGTCAGGATAATCCAGCAACAAGCATTGATAATAGCAACAACCTACTATGGTATTCTTTAATTAATCTTTGCTTTATTTGCATATGTTCTGTTAGTTTGGCCTGTTGGAATCCTAAATACTTGTAGAACTCACCCTCTTCCATGGATTCAATAACTTCTCCATTTCCAAGTGCAAAATCTTCTTTCTTCAGAATTCCTTTTTCTACGTGAAGTGTTTTGCATTTGTCTAAGCCAAACTTCATTTGTATGTCCTTGGTGTATGAATGTGTGATTTGTAGGAGCTGCTGAAGTTGTTTTTGTGTAGATGCGTAAAGTTTTATGCCGTACATGTACATGAGATGTGACAGCGTAAACTGTGTTGCTTTTTCATGTCTGATATTGTAGCCATATTGCGTGTTGTTTAACATGTTGGATAATGGGTTCNGTAGGAAAAACACTAGATTATGTAAACACTCACTTACTACCAAACTACATTCATTTAATTTCTACACTCTCAGACATTCATACATTAGTTTATGCTGGAGCAGTCACAGTAGTAACACACCATGGACTGAAAATACAAATCGCAGACAGATACACACAAAACACAATTCTATCACAAGCCTGCCTGGCAGAGAAGAATAGAAACACAAATAAATGACATTAGACCGCAATTAAGCAGGCTTGACACAATACACTAAAAACAACATAACACCCAAAATAATGAAACAATTCAAAAATATTTTCAAGAAAATCAAAACACATACAAAACATGAACATCACAACACACACATTACAGAATACATCAATACACTAAAACAAAAACTCGCAGCCAAAGCATGTAGACTCAAACGATACAAAACATGTACACTATGAAAACAACAAAATAAATTATTCACAAACAATGAAAAACTCTTTTACAGACAAATTAGTACCAAAAACAAAACACTGATACACACACCAACAGAACAACAACTTGCAACTTATTGGTCTTCTTTTTGGTCCAGTGCTGTTACACACAAAGCTGATGCACGTTGGATCAAGGAGAACAAAAACTTGCACAACATACCAACTGTGCCCTGTGCTGAAATAAACGTATACAACACCCGCTATGCTGTTAACAGAACACATTATTGGAAGAAACTTGGTGTAGACAACATTCACAATTTCTGGTACAAAAAGTTTACATCACTGCACCAGGATCTAGCCAAACATCTAACACACATCATCATCAATCCACAAGACATGCCAAAATTTCTTACTCGGGCATCACCTACATGAAACTTAAAAACAACAATACCACAGACCCCACACAATACAGGCCAATTACATGTCTTCCAACACTACAAATTATTGACATCCTGTATCACAAACAAAATATACAAACATGTTGAAAAACACATTCTTATGGAACAACAAAAAGGTTGCCGTAGAAATCACAGGGGATGCAAAGAACAGTTACTCATAGATTCAGTCATTCTACGGCAAGCACACAAACAACACAGAAACATATACATGGCATAATAGACTACAGAAAAGCATTTGATAGTATTCCACACAGTTGGCTACTACGTATTCTACACATGTACAAAACACATCCATCACTCATTGCATTCTTCGAAAACACTACGCAGCACTGGAGAACAACACTACATCTCAGGGTTAGTAACACTTCCATACAAACAAACGAAATATTCATTAGGCAAGGAATTTTTCAAGGAGATTCCTTGAGTCCTCTCTGGTTCTGCCTAGCCCTGAACCCATCATCCAACATGTTAAACAACACGCAATATGGCTACAATATCAGACATGAAAAAGCAACACAGTTTACGCTGTCACATCTCATGTACATGGACGACATAAAACTTTATGCATCCACACA